TCAAAGCAAGGAAGTAATTTCTTTTAGTTGAAAGCGCTACGCTTTTTTTATGTTTCTATCGCATTTTCCTTCCTTACTTTCCTAATAGGTTATTGAATATCCTTTTGGGAAAGAACGAATTCCGTTAAAACTTTTTGTAGAAAATGAAGTCTTTTAATTAATTTTCTACAATATTAGAGAAGTCTTAAAAAAAAAACAAAAAAAATTATTTTTTCTTCGAAACATAATCGAGATTTTGCCATTGAAAACCGATCATATTTTTTCACTTCTACTTCCATGTCGTCCTCTAGAAAGGTAGTACCTCCCTCCTTCTTCAGAAGAGCAGTCTTCCAATTTCCCGGTCAAATTTAGCACCTAACCCAATTTAAGAAGCATATCACATTTTTGCATTAATCACTTAAACTGTAGGATATAACAATGGAAATTTAATTCTGGAAACGGTGCCAGATTTAAACCTTTTTATACTATAAATAACTTGTTAGGCTGACGAGTTTGGGGTTCAACAATTTATTTAATAATTTATTTTATTATGCTCACCTAGATACGTCATATTGATGGTATGCATTTATTCATCGTAAAGTCAGTCAGACTGGTTGGACACGTACCACAACTCTCTCATATCCTGAGGTAATCTTCGCATTTCCCTAAAACTAGAACAACCCATATCATTAACTATTGACAAACAGTAATCTAATCTAGGTCTACCTCTACTCCATTCTAACACCCGTTTCTGCCTTTAATATGTCTCTGACTAGACCTTCATGCCTGAGAAGGTGTCCTACTAACCTATCTCGCCTATTTCTTATTGCCCTCCATAGAGTCCTCTGTTCTCCTATTTTTTTAAATACCTTTTCATTTGTAACCTTTATCCACGGTATCCTCGTCATTCGCAAATAGGAAAGATGAAGAAAACCAAATATTTCTCCTTCGGATTAGCTTATGTAAATAAAACGTCATTTTTTTGCACACATTATGAAGTATACTTTAAGCCCCTGTTACACGCTGCGCGACCTGGAACCTACAAGCGTGTCCTAGCGCGTCCTTCGGTTTATTTTCACGGCATCGGCAGGCGCGGAGATTGCCAATTAACGCTCCTTGTTACATGGCTCCCGGATCGGCAACGGTCTGAGAGCGATACAACGTCCTGGCGAATTGCATTGTCGAGCATGGTTGGTAAGTAAATGTTACAAACAAATGCACCTCAAGTATTTGTTACGCATTTTGAAAAGATTTAAATAAGCGATAACAATTGCAACACTATCGTCAAATACTGCCATTTACATTTAAATGTGAAATGTTTGGAGTTATCCGTTAACAAATACAAAATACAATTGTTAATAAAAGAAATAGATTCTTCTGTGGTAAAAAATTTTCTGAAACATTCCTTAATATGTTAAAATGAAAAGAAAACGTTTTTAAATATTTCAAAGGTTTTTAATTTTAATTATTTAATTACTCTTAAGAAACAGCTAACCACACCAAACAATATTGTAGAGTGTTTATGAGAAATCATTGAAACGTTTAAAATTTGCTTTTAACTTTATAAAAATGTCCTATGATGTAATTTCAGAAATAATATAATTAAAGAATTGAATATTCATATTTTTCTAATTTTAATGCAAAAAAAATTATTTATGATACCTTTTGTATGTACATTTATGCAAAATGCAACGTTTTTGACCTTGTGTAAATATTTACAAATCAGATTTGATAACCACGGAGGATTTCCGTTCCCTGCGCCTTGTAATATATCTTTTACAATGGAGATCAAGTGAGATAAATTAAATACTGGTAAGCAATCTATTAAATATTAAAATTAAATTGGTTACATAATCAAAATAAATAATAAACATATATACAATAGAGTGTAGAGATATATGTACTTGCTGCCAGTTTTAAGTGTTAGAAAAGGTCGTATAATGTTTGTCAGTTAATATTTTACAATTAATAGATGGCCCTGATTTTAACAATTTAAGAAAAATACTTGCTATGGCACTGTCTGTCTCGTTTTATACACATCCTTATTGCAATTTAACTGGCTTATAAATGGTAGACTGAACCTGTATTCACGCAGATTAATTGTAACCTAGCATCAGCAAATTATACCTATATTAGTTACCTTTTGTATTAAAAATGGCTAACTCTACTTGGGTTTCCTTCTGCATTTTTTTCGCAGTATTAACAACAATTTTTGCCCAACATGATATTATTGCTCGGTTACAAAGTATTAATTTAGATGAAGTGGTTAACAATGACCGTTTGTTCAACAACTTTTACAAATGCCTGACAGACGAAGGGCGATGCTCCAAAGATGCAAAATCCGTTAAAAGTATGTATCTACATTTAGAAATTCTATTTTTTTTTAACAAAAGAACTGCTGATGAAACTAGCTTTCACTGAGGAAAACTTTGTCAATTTCCGTAATTTATTTTCTTATATATATTCTGAAAATATCAATTTTCATCGATGAAAATAAATGTGGCTGCACATTGTGCTGACAAAAAATGATATGACATTAAATATATCAAAAATTACAGTGGGTGTTATTTCTGATATTTATTTTAAAATAAATATATGAATTTTACAACTTTGAATACATACTGTTTAGAATATAGCTACAGCCTTCTACAGGCTACTTAAAGGAGTACTAGGAATATAAGACAGAGGTTAGCACAGGGTCGAGTCGCCTTCAATAAAAAAAATCACTTCTATGCTCGCGAACGGTTAATTTAGAAATTAGAAAAAGATTGTTAATATATGTCTGGAAGATGGGGTACGATATGTAGACAGTGGGCGCCGTGGAAAAGAAAAGGTTAGATGCGTTCGAAATATGATGTTACAGGCGATTGATAAGGATAGGATAGAGAAAGTACGAAATGAAGAGGTATTAGAAAGGATAGGAGAACAGAGGACTCTATGGAAGAACATAAGAAATAGTCGAGATAGGTTGGTAGGACAGCTATTCAGATATAAGGTTTAGTCACAGATATATTAGAGACAGAAACAGGAGTTAAGAGGAGTAGGGGTAGACTTAGATTAGATTACTGTTCGTAAATAGTTAAGGATGTGGCTTGTTCTAGTTTTGGGGAAATGCGAAGATTAGCTGAGGATAGGAAAGAGTGGAGGTGCGTGTCTAATCAGTCTTAGGACTGACGACCTTATGATGACGATGACAGTTCAGGTGGAACCATCTGTAGACCTCATACTTATAATATAATAAAAATAAATTTGAAACTTATCTCCTTACATGAATTATAAAGTTTCCTTCACAATTGTCGATTTTTTTATTGTTTTATTTTTTATTCTTAATTTATGTCACTATTCCAATTTTTGAACTAAGGCGATTGTTACTAATCGTAAATACTTCTGCATATAATAATAAGTAACAACCCCGCAAATGTTTACCAAAGATGTTTCGTTTCCACTTGAACTTGCCTATTAATACGTACGTTAATTAGGGTGAGGTCCGCAAAAGTCCCACTTAATGACACGTTTGCAAATGTGCAGGACCGCAATTGTTCCAGATTTATTCTTAAGTACCTTAATAATAGCTTTTGCACTTTAAAACCGTGATTTGTAAATTATTTACTTCTCACTCGAATATTTATGTACCTAATAAATCAATCGTTTAATTATTTAAGTTTCAATTAGCTTTAATAAGTACTAGTAAAAAGTATATGTTTTTATTTAAAATGAGGTAATAATTGCCATTACCTACAAATTAGTCGAAAATTATAGTATATAAGTAGTATATGCCTATATACTTTTACTTTTTTTCTTATTATTAATGACTTTCTGGTTTAAATCGTAAATTAGTCCCAATAAACTGCAAAAAGCACAATAACAAGTAAACGTCATTGGTAAANACCAACCCCCTACGGGTTGCGTTTCGTTTACACAAATGTGAATTTCTTAATATCGTCGACCAAGAAAGTGTTTTTAAAAGCACCTCGCATTGCTAAGTTCAAAGAAATTGCCGGTAGTGAGATTCCACTTCCGCCATCCCCAATTGTTACAAAAAGTGTTACAAATATCCATTACCATAGTAGAAGGTATCTAAAAATAAAGAACACTTAATTAATGATTTTAGGCTTTTAGGCAAAATCAGTACTCATTTAGCGCAAATAAGCGGAAAAATCAACAGTAAAATACAATTTAAAAAAAAAAACATTATTTGTTTAACTTTTTAATCTATACATCGAAGACGCCATCAACATCATTAAAGACAGTACAACTGTAGGGATAGATGTGCAAGGGCAAAGTGTATCAGTTCCAGTCCCCAAATAGGTCATAAATGGGCAAGTACCTGCGCGACCGCTCGCCAGCTTTCTTCGTATCGACATCTTCGTCTAGCAATATGTTCCAAACACAATGGAATTAAATGTTAATACATGATCTGTTTTAGATTTGACCATCGAAATTGTAAAAACGAAATGTTCGCAATGCACCGATGACGAAAAATCGCTAATCAAAAAGAGTTTAGATTTGGTAAAAAAGAGAAGGCCAGAACAATTCAAAATCTTATCGGTCAAATACGACCCTGAAGACGTATTGGATGAACTGAAAAAATGAATGTATCTTATACGTTTAGAAGGATTCCCGAATCATGAATCATCGAGAATCCAACCATGAGTGTCAACATGTAATAATTGACTAAATAATCACCATTTTTCTGTGTTATTTTGTTGTTTCCGAAATAAATAACTTCTCTTATATCTATTAAATATTAAAATTAAATTGGTTACATAATCAAAATAAATAATAAACATATATACAATAGAGTGTAGAGATATATGTACTTGCTGCCAGTTTTAAGTGTTAGAAAAGGTCGTATAATGTTTGTCAGTTAATATTTTACAATTAATAGATGGCCCTGATTTTAACAATTTAAGAAAAATACTTGCTATGGCACTGTCTGTCNAATTGACTAAATAATCACCATTTTTCTGTGTTATTTTGTTGTTTCCGAAATAAATAACTTCTCTTATTAAACACACGAATATATGTTTTTACTAACTACATTTCACAATAAGATATGATGTTTCTAAATAGAAGGAGGAGACAGTGGTAAATATTAATTAAAAAATTAAAAGGAATACTCACCCTTAATTACCACAAATAAATTTTATATGAGCGGACACGTGTTTCGCCCACTTCACACGTGGGCATTATCTCGCGTTGATAAAATTTATTTGTGGTAATTAGGGGTGAGTATTCCTTTTAATTTTTTAATGATGTTTCTAGATTAAGCCTGTTACAAACGTTAGGTGATAACAAGATCTTTTGCAATCTAAAAATACGCTTTTGGGGGTAACTTGACGTACAACAAATCCTGTTTACTATCAATGGATACACGTGTTTCTTCAAAAGCAATGAACTAATAAAAATAGTAGAGGTGAGTTGGGTACCTGGTACCGGCGGATCCGCCAAATTTTTGTAGGATCCGACCAGATACCGGACAATGGTGCTAGATCCTCGGCGGTGTCGGGTAGAGATAGCTTTAAATAAAGTGGAGTTAGTCTAGTCTAGTCTTAGGACTGACGACCTTATGATAATGATGTATAACAAAAAAAGGAAGTTGGTAATTAAGATTATTTTTATCGTGAACGAAAATACATCAATACGACCAAATTGTTACAATGTCTGTGGCTTGTTGGTATATCAACGGTTCAATATAACCGTCTGGTTAACAATCCGCTGACCAAGAATTTCAATGTACTTTAGTATTTTAACAACTTTTTATACGGAACTTAAGTTAGTAAGAGTGGTGTTTAATAGACAGTTCGTCAGAACAAATACGTGAACTATTAACCGTAGTGATCCAGCCTGCGCAGCTAATAGCGGGGATAATGCCTAGTTCCCTCCCATATACCTGTTTTTAATTAGGGTTAAAATTTTCGGTATGTCGAATTCCCTCCTAATTATACATCAGTTGCCTCCCAACGGCAGTGAATGACCATGAGTACTAATTGCCACTATAAAGTCATAAATAATTGTTTAAATAATACAGCCTCACATCACATATTAATCTCATTTATGTTAAAATACGAAGTGTTTCATCTAATTTTAAAAAATTGTTAACAAGATAAACTAAAACTACTTAATAAAGTTTTTCTAGATGATTGCATCAAAAAGCTAGACGTACACGAATTACCAAACATTGAATTTGTTAAGGTAGTGGGAAACCATTTTAAAATTAAATAAATAAACATTTCATAACTGATATGTGTTTTCTTTCTGAAATTATTTTATCTTTAATTTACTGAAGTACTGAAGTGCACTATAAAGATATATTTATTTTCGATAAGTAAAATCGGTAAGTAGTCGTTAACTTAATTATCGGAGCTGATATGAACGGGAGGGAACTCGGCTAGTACCCGGGAGGGAATTCGAATATCTATATTTTAACCAAAATTACCTGCGGGAGGGAATTCGGCGTCAGCTCTAAGATCAAAATATTAAAATTCATTAATCAGCAAAAGGAAGTAATCAATAAACTTTTGTTATAATTTTATTTATTCGCATAATAATAAAATTTGTCTTTTCTACATGTAAAGATTATTTATTTGCTGGAACAACTGTTACTTCCTGGGCTTTATTTTCCTTATATTTTTTGGTATATTCTCCAGAAGGGTCGTACTTTTTCTCCAGTTGACTCCAATATACAGGTCTATTTTCAATGAGATACGATACCATTCTATCGGACATTTCTTTTTGTTTTTCGCTGCATTTACTACAGTTGGTTTCTAAGGCATCTGGCATGTTATCTGAAACGAACGAAAACAACTCCGTAGATAAAGAAAGTTGGAAAGAGTACTGTAGGAACAAACGACGCGTAACGAAAGAAAAGGAGAATTAGGATGATAAGATAATTTCCGAGTAAAGGTAAAGACTCTCCCAGTCTTCTGGTCCTGGTCTCAGTCTTGGGCTAAGTTAAGTTAAGTCTTGATTTGTCTTGTTCATTTAATCTGATACTTACGTTTTTTCTTAATAACTCTTCTAAGTACAAAATTTTATATTTACCGACACAATTGTCTTAAATGCCGAAATTTTCACGACGACCTTTACACCCGAATCAGAACAGCATTTGATAGCAGTTTTACACTTATCATAGTTCTTGAGTGTCAAATATTTATCGCATCCTGGGAGTAATGCCTCAGTGGATAACCGTTAGTTTAACATACATAAAGATTAAAAGTAAAACGGTCTCTCACGTTTTAATTCATTTCCATCGGGAGTACAAGGACCATCATCCAGTAGACAATTAACGTAGTTTTTAAGCAATCTTTCACTTTTAATTATCTCATCCAAGTCAATATTATCATATTTTGTAGTGTATTTCGGTGATTCACTCACACCTGCTGATACAATAGAGCCAAATAGAGCAAAACAGATAACAGCAAATGTGTTACAAATATCCATTACCATAGTAGAAGGTATCTAAAAATAAAGAACACTTAATTAATGATTTTAGGCTTTTAGGCAAAATCAGTACTCATTTAGCGCAAATAAGCGGAAAAATCAACAGTAAAATACAATTTAAAAAAAAAAACATTATTTGTTTAACTTTTTAATCTATACATCGAAGACGCCATCAACATCATTAAAGACAGTACAACTGTAGGGATAGATGTGCAAGGGCAAAAGATTAGTATGCTTAGATTTGCAGATGATATAGCAGTATTAGCATCTAGCAAGGAGGACCTAGAGATAGCTTTAAATAAAATGGAAGCGGTACTGACA